CGACATAATGATGTAAAATTAGAGAAAAATAACTTTTCTCCTTACAAGGAGGGGACCTTTTTAAAATGAAAACTAATGAAAATGACTTGAAAACTTTGAGTTTTAACGATAAGAACAAAATAAAGGGTAAAGTGAATAGTACCATGATTGATTTTTTTAGTATAAAAATGTTGTTTTTTGTTAAAATAAACAGTACTGAAAGTTTTTCGTTAAAGTTCCATTTTTAAAATGAAGCATTTCTAGACGATAGGTTTGTCCAAGAAATTCTGACAATATTTGCCGCATGCTTGAAGTTGAAGATGGCACGAGGGCATGATCTAAGCATGAGTTTTTTTTCTACAAATTCCCACTCAGTCAAAGTTGTGACCTCAAAACCCTACTCATCCCACGCTCATCAAACTATTGGTTTATAATTACAATGTACATTAAAAAAATCCACTTTCCCTACTTTTCGAAAACCTAAAACCCCTAGAAACCCTAAAACCGATGAATATTGTGAACAACTTCAAGAATCAAGACAGCAAAATGCCAAAACACAATGAGAGGATCGATTCAGAATAATAAGGTGTGTGACGCACTAAATCCTAAACCCTAATCTGCATTTGTTCACCCTCTAGATTCGCCCTAGGTCTTGTGGGTAGGTCGGAAATTTAATTGAACATGAAATTGGAGATAGTGAGCGTGTTACTACCAGTTACCGCTAGTAGATGATATTTAAGTGATGGAGATTGCGCTATTTGACTTCTAAACAAAAAAGTTGTTCCACTGCGTGGGAGTGACTCAACAAGATTCTTTCTTTGCTTTAAAGTCAAGAGTTTTGCTTATGTAGAGAAATAAATCATAATATGGAAATGGTGAATTAAAGTCTTGACACAAAGAGTTCAAGCTATGATTCAAAGAGAAAGAAAAATTGCTTATAGCTTTGTATTAAAATGACAATAATGAGAGAACTTGTATCGAAAGGACAATAGTAAGATATCTTGTATTGAAATGACAATTGTTTGTACCATACTTGACCAATTCCGAAACTACTGAGCACCGGTCAACGTTATATTGTCAAGGATCCAGAAGAGTTTTCCTCCAACCAGGAGGCCAATCACACGTGTCGACATCAGAAGCCAATCATAGCACATTACGTGTCAACATCAGAAGTCAATCACAACACGACACGTGTCAATATCAGAACAAAGTTAGAAACTCTCTTCTATAAAAGGAGATCATTCACCCACAATATTTCCTAATGTCATTTGTACTAAATTATTCACTAGTACTCACTAAAGGAGAGCTTGAACCTATGTACTTGTGTAAACCCTTCACAATTAATGAGAACTCCTCTACTCCGTGTACGTAACTAATCTGGGTGAACCACGTACATCTTTTGTTTGCTTCCCTGTCTCTATCCATTTACATATTTATCCACACTAGCGACCGAAGCGATCTAGCGAAGGTCACAAACTTGACACTTTCTGTTGTACCAAAGTCCTCACTGATTTTGTGCATCAACAACAATAATAGTTTAAAGAGAGAACTTATATTTGAAATGTTAGTAGCTATTAAAAAAGAGAGATTTAAAGAGAAATACTTGTAAAGACAACAAAACTATGATAAATTGAAAGAGTGATTTGACTTTCATTGAAAGAAATGAAAGAGCTTGCAATATTAAATAAAGCTTTCAAACGAAAATGAGTTCTGAAATTAAAGGTTTCCTACGTTGGTTTTCTAGAGAAATATTTGTTTGATTGTTTTGAGTGTCTCCAACTTCATGCACTGACTTTCTTTATATAGAGATCAAAACCATAGTGGCAAAACAAGGCCACTTGCTGGTTATTTAATAAAAACACAAAACAAGGAGTTGGCTGACTTGATCATGAAGCGATAGTCATTGGAGACCAAGCGGTGGTTATATAATTAAAACACAAAACAAGGAGTGTTGGCTGACCTAATCATGAAGCGATAGCCATTGGAGACCAAGCGGTGGTTATATAATTAAAACACAAAACAAGGAGTTCGATGACTTGATCATGAAGCGATAGCCATTGGAAACCAAGTGGAGAGGATAGTCATTGGAGACCAAGCAAGGAGGATGATGTTGCGGCATCACCAAGGTTTTCTACAAAACACCTAGCCTAATACAACTACTTTATGGGAAGCATTTGTTGCGTATCTAAGGTTTGCAGGGACTTTAGTATTTATACTAGCTAAGATATTAAGGTTCTGTCCATAAAGAAATCCCAAATTCCATTTTTTTAGCCTATCAGTTAGGTATCATAATCACATGAAATCAAGGACGTTGTCAATCTTACTTGTGTTACAAGACTAATATAAGATTGATATCTTTAGGCGATATCAAATGACAATATCTACATTACATTCCTATTTTATGTTGTAGACCATTTGATTTACGTTGGAATAAATCCAAAATCACCGCCAAAACCATAAAAGAAAAGCAATCCTTTGCCGCCAAACATGTCAACTTGGCGCCCTTCAAAATATCCTGATGCAAGTTTAGCCTAATTTCTTAATAACTCTACACCATAATTTGGCTTTAAACCAAGAAAGTGAAATTTGACAATTTTGAGCACAGACAGCATTTATTTATTCTCTGGAAGTATCGACAGAAAAACTAGGTCTTAAACATGGAAGTGGCAATTTCTCAGGTCCTCAGGAGATAATTTCTGAAAGCTAATAGAATCTAAAGCTAGATATAGATAGGACGATCATATGATCATACAAAGTACAAAACTGCAACGTTTTGAGTGATGTCATGGTTAATTACTTAAAAACTTTTTACTAATTAGGGTTTTGGGAGAAACTTAAAGGCATTGTCCATTGCTTGTTGTACAAGGCATCAGTGCTGCATGCTGCTCAGGACGACTCAGTGATTCAGATGCGAGTCAGATGCACAGGGCTTGCGATGATCCAACGGTCAACAGTCAACAGAGACAGAAATTAATTACTCGCTGACCACAGATATTTTGCGATTCTGATATCATCGTTAGTGTCACATTTGGAGACTAATTAATTAATTAGTTAATAACTAATTAGCATCTTGTGTGATTCTTGATGAAATCCTACATCTGCTAGAGAAATAAAGAAAGAAGAGTTTAAGTATCATAATTTCACTAATACTGAAGCCTTGTGTGATAAAATAAAACTCACATCTGACGGATTGTGCAGATGGTAATTAACAAGTTAGGGACAATATCAATAGTGTTGGAAGTGGGATGTTGGCCCGTCTTTCTAATAATTCAACAATTCTATCTCCACGTGCAAAGTTCAAACTCTCTTCAGAAATCTCGAGGCTGTAGCTTCTTCAGTCAGCCATGGCAGACCCTCCTAGTGTTTCCAAATTTTCCTACCTTGTATTTGAAAGATTTTCCTCGTTAATTACCGCTGTCATTGGCTCTAATAATTCTGCAAGTGATTTTGGAATTTTTTTTATTTTTTAGAAACGATATTATCTATACTAAGGGGTTAGGGAGTAAGTTAAGTCTCATAATGGGCTAGTAATACTATCCTTCATTTTTTCGAGGCTGTAGCAAGTGATCTGGATTTAAGTACGTGTTTGATTATTTTCGTGGCTAAACATTTTGCGATTGAGATTATTCCTTAGGCCATTTGAATCAAGACGTTTAAGTTCAAAATTTTTGACTTAGTTAGATCTAGGAGTCTAACTTCGAGAGTCCTAGTGTAAAACATCCAAGTTTTTTTTTTATAAAAATACAAAGAAATTTATTTATTTTTAATTTTCTAAGTGGTGCATTTTGTCGAACATTAGTATGCTCGTTGTCATTTGCCGAGCCATGATGCACATTGCATTCTGTCTAGATCCATGCCAAGTGATGTCGACTCATCTTGTCGATCATACAATTCGTCAAACACTTAGTGAACACACAAGGTCCCATATCAGCATTCGAATGGTCCCTAAAGAACATGCCTTATGTTTTTTCCAGCCTCTGAGACCCTATGTGGATGCGTCCATGGACTTAGTGGCAACTAGACTTACGTGTAAACTTGAACCTACACATTCGAGTTTAACAGTCGTTTCATGATTATTCATACTTTTCTTTTTCAATCTTGCCCTTCAAAGATTCTCTTGATAAGTGTTACAGAAACATAGATATATTCCTTGTGACAACCAAATTTAATTACATTGAACCTAAACATTCAAGTATACCACTCATTTCCTGGATCATCATACTTTTACTTTGGGTTTCGTCCTTGGGGGAATCTCGTGATGAGTGTTATAGAAACAGTTTCATACTCCATAATAATTGGGCTCTAGAACTTATTAACTCAAATTGTTCAAACTTCAAATTGGTCTTCAGAACTTGAATTTTCTCTAGTGCACATTTAAGTAACACATATAATGACTCTTGTTCAAATGTGCACTAGCGAAATCCCCTCTAGAACTTATTAACGCAAGACTTGAAAATCCACAGTAATTGGGCTTTAGAACACAGTAACCCAATGCATACACTTCATTGGGCCATAAATCTGTACAAAAGATTAAACCTGATGGGAGGATCGTGGGGTATAAGAATATTAGGCAATATGGATCCAGTATCCAACGTAGTAAGTTTCGGAAATTTTCAGATTTGGATTCGGAAGTCCAATGGAGGAAACGGAAATTCCATTCCAGCTTGCACTCCGAAGTCTTACATAAGATGTTTCTTCTGTAAAGCAGCATATGTCATTTCCCAAAAAGGGCCTAAGAAAAATAAAGAAGTGTCGTTGGGTCATAGAAACATTTTCTGGTTTCGTGCTTCTTTAAACACTTCTGAATTTCTCTTTTTTAAGACTTCAACGTGTTTATAATAAACGCACTCCTAGCAAAAACACTGATGAATGGAAATGTCCTTACAACAGATAAATATAACGTCAAACACATTGAAAACCGGAGAAACATCGATAACCTGTTTTAGGTTTAAAGTTTCAGATAGATAAGAAGATTAACAGCTTCAAATCTTTAACTAAAAAGGTAAGGTGAAGGAAGGCTATAAGTTAGTAGCACAATATACTCAATGATCATCTATTTGGGCAAAGCTCCAGTTAAGCTACAGTATGTTTCAGCTCCACGGTAACCACGAAAACAAAGCGTCGAAATATATCCAACGATTCTAAATTGTAATCCTTCGAAATAAAAACCTAGTGCTTTCATCTGTGATGATCCCTAAAAGAAACTAGTAAATCTTTACACTACCTAAAGAGAAGCAGAATGTGACAGACTAAATGTAAAACCATTGCTAACCGGAAGCTCGTGCCAATCTCAAAAAACATGACTGCCATGCGCCGCCTGGGTAGCGCCTAGCTAGTTTCTTCGCCCATTCACATTGTTTGTCATGCTGTACAGGGTTTTAGTCGATTGAAGACGTGCTTGCTTTGGTTGGTCTTTTACGTTCTCCATGTTGAATTGCTGGTCACGGCATTCGGGTGAGCAAAAGGCACGAAAGGGTCTGCATCACGCCACGGAATTTTCAGAACACATAAAATTTCATTAATTTGCTGCCACAGGCATATAAACAACTCTGCAGTAATGTGAAGTTCACGTATATTGACGGAGAATCGAAGTTATAACTGAGAAGGAAAACAAAGGAATTCAAACAACAGAATGGATAAGAGAAGATGAAGAATCATATTTGCAACTCAAACATTTTTCCTTTCTACTATACTTCTTTGATTTTCTCAGCCGCCAAACAGAAATTATGCAATCACACAGGGAAAATAGTACTAATGATGATGATTCCGCAAAGAAAACAGAAGCATAAAAGAAAGTAAAAGAGAAAAGAAAATTTTTGCACAATTAAAATAGAGGAAGAAGAATTATAAATCACAAGTTCACAACTCAAAATTTTCCTTGATTTTCTCAGCAGCCAAACAGAGATCAAATAATTACACTATAAAATTCTTACTACAACGATAATTTCAAAAACAAAAGAAAAATATCACCTGAGTAATGAGGAAAAGAGCAACATGCACAATTAAAACAAAAGAAGAAGAAGACTTATAAATAAATTACAACGCAAAATTTTCATTGATTTTCTCAGCAGCCAAAGGGAGATAAAAAATTTACACAATGAAATTCCTCCTATAACGCTAATTTTTAAAAACAAAAAGAAATCTCATACGAAATCAGTGAAGAAACCTTACTTACCCGTACATGAACACGTCCTCGTTGTGAGGTAGCTTCCGGTGACAAAAGAAGCACTGCTCAAGGAACTCGTCAACCTGCGCCGCGCGTCCCATCCGCGCAGTCTCCGGCGACGACATCCTCAAAACCGACGGCGGAGATTTCTCAGCCTCCGGCGACGGCTTCAAAGCCTTCGCGCCATTACCAAAACCCGCACGGACGTGGCGCCGGGGATCGGAGCCCTCGGCCGGCTGCTTCGGCGGCAGGAGGTGGTGGTTGGACACTCCGGCGTCGTCGAAGCTCGACGAGCCGCCACTCCGCGAGCGCTTTGCCGACATTGAGATTGAAGATTGTAGGGATTTGGGAAGATTGAGAAGAGAACTCGGAGGTTTAAGAGTGTACGAACAAACAACTACTGTAGAGAGAGAGAGAGAGGAGTCAAATAAGTCCAAGTCTGGATACTTGTACACCCCTTCATCCACACGCATCTTTTCTTTTCTCACCGTTTCTTTGCTTCCTCTCCACCGCTTCCTTCCTCTGCAGTCGGCACCGCTTGCGTTTTTGCCCTTCCTCTCCAGCTGTCGGCCATCGCAGCGTCTTCTGGCATCTACCCGTTCTTTTCCTCTAATTTGACTTCGTTTGTTTTGGGTTCTGTGGTTTTGGTTTCGTTTGCTCTCTCTCCCATCTTCTCTGTTGGTTTCTGTTGCTCTCTCTCCCTTCTTCTCTGTTGGTTTCTGTTGCTGTACCAGCTGCACAGGAAATTCGAGAGATCGATGCGGCTGGATTCTATGGCGGACATACTAAGAATCTAGGTATATATATTTGGTTCTTTTAGAATAAATATTTTCGTATGGTTAATTTGTTTGCTCAGTGTCCATACATGATATATGTATGACATAATTAACGCTCTAAAATCTGTTATATGAATCTTCGTCTTCGTCTTCGGCTTCTAAAAAGCAGTGGCTGGGACTATCTTCCGCTTCCCAATTGGAGCTGGAGCCGACTTACTATGCTTCCGCGGAGCCGAGGATCGCGCTACCGCAGCGAGTGAAGAAGAGCCGGAGAGGGCCCAGGTCCCGGAGTTCGCAGTATCTGGGCGTTACGTTTTATCGAAGGACGGGAGATGGGAATCCCATATTTGGTTACAGTGACACTGATGTACTATTGCTCTCTTTGGATACTATGATTGTGTACTGAATTTGAGTCCTTTGGCTGTCTATTTTTTTGTGTAGGGATTGTGGGAAACAAGTGTACTTGGGTAAGAAAAATGAATCAAAATCCACCATTTAATCGTTTTTTTTTTTTTAATTTGTGGGGGATTATTTTTAATTTTTGAATATTTTTTTAGGAGGATTTGACACTGCCCATGCTGCTGCTAGGTAAGAACTAAGAAACTCAGAAGTGTTAACAGTAAAACTTTCAATGTAAAACTTGGTTTTCAAGTAGTTAATTTTTAGGAAAACTAATGAAAAGGGTTTCAAACGTTTACATTTTAATAAATAAAAAAAACCATCCACTAACTTTATTTAATGATAAGTTGAGGCTTGAAGTCTCCTTAAGCATTCAAAGTTCGTAATGTAACGAGCTGCGCGCATCCCCCCATATAAATTGATACAACAAATCCTTCATCCAAACATCCTAGAAACAAGAGAGAGAGAGAGAGGGAGAGAGAGAGAGAGAGAGAGAGAGAGAGAGAGAGAGAGAATGGATGCATTACTAACACCAGCTGACTTCAAACGGCATTTTGATGGAATTTGTCATCGGGACTGGGTTTCGTATGCGCAGAAGTTGCAAAGGTTGAAACCCTTGAGTTTCAACGCAAAATTAGCATCACAGAGTGCAACATAGTGAGATTAAAACCCAGAAATTCAAAAGTAAGTAGAGACCTCATTGGGTTTGAGTTTGAGACCTTTAAGCTCTTGGGCATTAATGGTGCCGATGTCCACATTGCACCGATCCCACATGTAAGACCACCATTGTGATCTTTGCACCCCACATACTTCAAATATGCTAAGTTTGGGGTTGATTTGTGAAGGTAAGTGGGAGAGTGAGAGCTTTCTTCTCTCGGTGCTATAGAGATTGAGTTCAAGAGAGGAGAGAAGAATGTAGTACCGTTAAGTTTCATAAACAGCTGTTGACCCTAAAAACTACCAAGCCTACGTGGCGCGCAAGCCGAGTAACTAATGAGCTAACTACGTCATTCGGTTGATGTGGGGCGTGCCAACTCGTCGACAGAGCTCGGCCGAAGAGTAAAATATGTTGATGTTGAGTTGGGTGCGCTGCAGACTTCTCGATCTTGCGATTGCAGCCAAGGAAGGAACAGTCTCGACCTTCGTGTTCTAGAGCCTAAAGAAAAGGCTGCTAGTTCTACGAAGTTCACAAATCGTCAATGTCGGATTCAATCATGGTGATTATTTTCGTAAGGGTATAAGCACGCCATCGACACTAGACTATATGGACACAAGTATTCAAAACAGATGTACGTTTTAATCGTAAATGTGGTTCAACTGTCAAAATGCCAAACTCTAAATCCAGCTTGTGAGTATCCAATCATAAAATAACTCGGCGTTCAACGCACTGAGTCTGGTGATTCGTAACACCTCACTTCGCCGAGAAGGTTCGTGAGATGACCTCTGCCAATAAAGATTCGAAAACCCTTCGACCGAGACTTGGATAGATAATCAGTCGGTCTCGACGCAGTGCTGTTTATTCAAACTGAAGGTACTTCGTGGTCGGTTGATTCTGCGGCGATAGTGCTGTTTATCCAAACTAAAGATGTTCGCCAGTTGCATTTACAATGTTGTTTATCCAAACTGAAGATGTGTCGGCGAAAAAGAAAATAAAAATCTCAAGGTTGTTGAGAGGTTTCGCGTAGAGCGAGAGTTTGCGCAGGGCAGTTTGTGTGTTGAATTGGAGGGGGTTTAAATGATGCACTCCTCCATCTATTTATAGTAGCAAACCTTGTTTGTACCATACTTATGGGCTCCGTATTTAGATCTTGTATAAATACTCGGGGGACTCAAATGTAATTATATAATAAATGGAGGGGTAAATATGTAATAAGTAATGAGCCCTTATTCTATAAAAGGACTCATCACTCTCCTCATTAAGAGCAGTTCCACCGGAGGTGGAATAGCCCAGCACCCAGTCAAAAAACTAGGCTGGCACCTTGTCAATTCACTCCAGCCCAGCAACTTGCCTGGCACCCATCCTAAGCTGGTCTCTGGGCCAGTCCAAAATTGACTGACCAAGGAGTCGGGCTATTTGCCTGGCGCGTGCCTTTCACGGTGACAACTTCCGATTCATCCAATTGGGTCCGAGCTGGAGAACAATTTCGTTGGGTTTTTTCCCGATGACAACCTCCGATTCTGAGCTACAGCATAACAAAACAACATATAAACAAACCCATAAAGTAATGGCAAACCAAGAAAAACCCAGGGGTGCGGATTTTCATTTTTCTGTGGGGGAAGACCGGAAGAGTTGCAGAGGGAGGTTCCAGGGGTGCGGAGCGAAATGGGTAGAGAGAAAAAGGGAGAGAGAGATGCAGAGGGAGGTCTAGGGGTGCGGAGCGAAATGGGTAGAGAGAGAGAGGGAGAGAGAGATGCAGAGGGAGGTCCCAGGGTCCGCTGGGTGTGTGTTCAGCGGTGGTATTGGGTTTGCTTATTTTTCTTGGTTCTGATGAGGGGAGAGAGAGGGGAGATAGCTGGGGGAGATGGATGTAACGTGCACAAGGAATTGCACAGAGAAAGAAAGTGTGTATGGGGCTAATATTTTTATAAAATTGATAATATTTTATTAAATCAAATTATTATTCTATAATAAAAATTAATAATATTTTAATAAAATTGACTAGGCTATTTAGTTTTAGGGGTGGAGATGCCTTGGCCTATTACTGTTCACTGTGGTATATTATTGTTCACTTGAGTGGATAAATGCGCTGGGTGCTGGCGCAAAGTCTTTAGGGATGGACTTGCTCTAAGGAGGCCAAGTTTCAGGCCATAGGAAGAGAGAAAATAGGCCAAGTTTTAGGCCATGGGAAGAGAGCACACAGAAAATAGGCTAGAGAGCACACTGCCTCTAGCCTTCTTGTATATTCACCATTCAGAGTGAAACAATATCAACATCAGTGTGGATGTAGCTCAAACCTTGGGGTGAACCACGGTACATCTTGTGTTATTTACTTTCTTGTAGATTCACGGTCGGATTTACGTTGTTCCAAGACCTCCAGTTTTGTGCATCAACAAACCTGCTTATGATCGAATCAAAACTATACTTGGATTATGACTCCTTACCCTGATCCAATCTTATCTCGGCCAATCCTACTTCTATTAGGACTTTGAACTTGTTTGTACCATACTTGACCAATTCCGAAACTACTGAGCACCGGTTAACGTTATACCGTCAAGGACCCAGAAGAGTTTCTCTCTAACCAGGAGGCCAATCACAGTGCGACACGTGTCGACATCAGAAGCCAATCATAGCACGACACGTGTCAACATCAGAAGCCAATCACAACACGACACATGTCAATGTCAGATTGAAACTAGAAACTCTCTTCTATAAATAGAGATCATTCTCTCACAATATTTCCTAATGTCATTTGTACTCAATCATTCACTAGTACTCACTAAAGGAGAGCTTAAAACTATGTACTTGTGTAAACCTTTCACAATTAGTGAGAACTCCTGTACTCCGTGGACGTAGCCAATCTGGGTGAACCACGTACATCTTGTGTTTGTTTCCCTGTCCCTATCCATTTACTTACTTATCCACACTAGTGATCGGAGCAATCTAGCGAAGGTCACAAACTTAACACTTTTTGTTGTACCAAAGTCCCCACTGATTTTGTGCATCAACAGAACTCAACCCCTTATCAGGCCGCATTCATTCCCAAGTTTCAGCATCCTCATCCTGCCGAGACTCCTTATTGTATCAGGATTTAACTACCTTATCCTGATAGGACACGGTCGGCCCCTGAGCAACGCTTCCGAGCCGAGAATAATTCTAAACTCAGCCCAAAACAATATTTTTGGCCCAAACAACAGTATATTAAGTTTCATAAACAGTGTCGTAAGTTTTCATAAACAGTGCATTAAGTTTCATAAACAGTGTTGTAAGTTTCATAAACAATGTAGATGTTTCATAAACAGTGTGAGGACGCGTGGGTTCGTAGGTCAGATTTTTTTTAATATTAAAATTAAATTTAAGGGTTTTTCATTAAAATTTAAGTCTTTTTAATTAAATAAAGTTATAGCATGATTTTTTATTAAAATAAACATAATCCAAGCCGTTTTCATGAAAGTTCCCTTAATTTTTTGGGTAATTTTGTGGTTGTGGTAAAATGATCTTAGGCCGTATGATCGAGCTGCGATCAAGTTCCGCGGAATTGAGGCTGATATTCATTTCTTTAAATTAAAGACACATTTCTTTATGTGTTATCTAATTTTTTTTTTTAACTTAATGTAATTTAAATATTAAAAAATAGTGTGTTGGAGTAGGAAGAGAAAATAAGTACGCAGAAATCGATTAATGCTCTCAAATAGTACTATTTTATCCTAGCAAGCACTATGATATGACTATAACACATAATCACATTATATGGGTCGCTCCAAATTCTGTACGGATCCAACACCGCCACGACTTAAGTTATGGTCTATGTTCTCTCATGATATCAATAAGAAATAATCTCATACGGTTTTATTAGGAATATTAGCATTTTAAGAAACTCAGTTACGCATTCATCTCTAAAAAATAAAAAATAAAGATGGTAAAGATGATTTTTTTTGGAGTGCTAATGAGAATCCAATTCTTTTTTATTATGGTATAAACAAATTATAGTATCAATATGTTACCGATCAACATTGTCAAAATAGTAGTGCTAGCTAGTTTATAGTTTTATTCTTTTTTTTTATTTACAAATAATATGATAATTTACATTAATATATTTAAATTACCGAGAGGGGGATTCAAATATGAAACCTTGAATCGAAGGTAAGGACGAATGCTCTTAACCAACTATATTAAAAGTCAGTTGCTAGTAATACTAGCTAGTTGCAAGATCCTTAACAAGAATTTTGTTTGTTATTTATTTTGTAAAACAAATTTGATTTTTATTTATTTTTAAATTTAAGTGAGCCATATAGAAATAATAATTACTCGTTTTTTATTGACCGACTCTAATCCTTTTTTGTGTTGGTTTTCCTTTCGGTCAAGTGACCGACTCTAATCCTATTTATACCCAATAAAACCCTAGCTAATTAGCAAAGCTACTACCATATCAAACACTAGCTAATTATCTACTACGTACTTCAACAAACTCGATACCTACAAAAATCACCTGCAACCAGAGAAGGAAACATGGCCGTTCTGCCGATGCCATTCTCCATTGTACCACACCATCGTCGCCATAAGCTTGTTTGTAAGGCCAGTTCGGTCATCACAACATATCAACCGCAAACCCTATTCCAAAGAGTCAAGTTTCAAGAGCCCACGCAACATAAACTTGTTAGCGATTACCAAAGTTTGTTTGGGTTGGACGTTCACATTCTCTCGAAACCCGAGCGAAGTAAGAAAGAGTGTTTTGGAGGACAGGAGAAAGAAATTGCTGCTGTAATCCAGAGGTTGGAGGCATTTGCGGAGAGAGCCATAGAATTGGAGACGCAGAAGTTCGAGAATAAAACGAAAGGGTTAGAACTATCAGACGAAGAAAGCAGGATAGTGCAAGATTTGAGCAGAGAGATAGTTAGCAAGTTTTTGGAGAAACCCATCCAGTTCTTGAGGAGCAGTGACGAGGACTTGGAGGAAAAATTGAAGGAACTCCAGTTTCTTGCGACCATTCTTGAAGAGTCATGTTAGAAAGGAGGAATTCATGCATGGCTAGCTAGCCGCCACTGCAGAAAAAAAAAACCCTTTTCAGACGAAAGTTTTGTCTTTGGCTGACGAGAGATTCCATGTCACAAATTTCATAGTGCAAAATCCATCACTCAAAAGTTTGTCCGATGAAATTTAGACATTCGTTTGGCGAACATAGTTGACCCGACGAAACAAAGTCGTTGGGTATAAAGGAGCGCTTCTTGGTCATAGAACTATTTGTTTGTTTGGATTCTTTTGTACATGTATGCTTGCAATGCCACGAGCATTATTATTTGTTTGTAATTAAATCATGAACAATATTGTTAATGCAAAGTGTTTAGGTTCTTGCCCCTTTTTTGGGAAAGTTTCAAAGAGTTACTAATATAGCTGGCTTTCAATTTGTCCCTTTTTCCAATAATATTGACGGTAATTTTAGATGTCCTAATTAGGAATGGAATGAAGCGAAGTAATTTTTAGATGTCCTTGGAACAACATGACGCTTGTTACCATTCCGCATAAATTATAACATGTTTATTTATTTATATTAATAATACCCTAAAACCGTAGCTAATTAGCAAAGCTACTACCATATCAAACCCTAGCTAATTAGCTGCTACGTTCTTCAACAAACTCGAAACCCACAAAAAATCACCTGCAACCAGAGAAGAGAAAATGACCGTTCTGCCGATGCCATTCTCCATTGTACCACACCATCGTCGCCATAAGATTGTTTGTAAGGCCAGTTCGATCATCACCACACATCCACCGCAAACCCTATTCCAAAGAGTCAAGTTTCAAGAGCCTACACTATAGAGAAATAGATAGTGACAGAAAGAAGCAGTTCTGTATTATGAATAAATTCCTTGATTTTGTTTATTATATTGATACAAGATATATACAAGCCTGTAGTTGACTTTGTACAACATAAAAGGTAACTAATAACTCTTGATTATTTACATAAAACAATATAGAGAGAATGGTGGGATTACGTTTAGACAGCAGATGTGGTGGAGAGATTTGTGGTGGATTCAATACTCTTGTCATCCCCCCTTAAGCGAAACGGAACAAAGTGTAGATTGAGCTTGGAAGCAAGGAAAGATAATCGATCGCGTGAAAGTCCTTTGGTGAAGATATCAGCGATTTGATGATGAGAGGAGATGTGTCGAGTTTGAAGGACACCATGGGTGAGAAGCTCTCGAACAAAGTGGTAGTCAATCTCTATGTGACGAGTATGCGCATGAAAAACTGGGTTGGCTGCCATGTGAAGGGCAGAGACATTGTCGACGAAAATGCAAGGTGGAGTACGAAGCGGAATGCCTAGTTCACGGAAAAGATAGCAAAACCAACGAATTTCAGCGGCTGTGGTGGCAAGAGCACGATATTCAGCTTCGGAACTAGAACGAGACACTGTGGATTGCTTTTTGGGGGTCTATGTAAGGAGGTTGGGACCAAGAAAAATGCAAGCACCACTTGTTGAGCGACGATCATCAATGGAACCGGCCCAGTCAGCATCAGAAAAGCCCTGAAGAGAGAAGTCTGGAGACGAACGAAATAAAAGACCTTGTTCAACAGTCCCTTTGATGTAGCGGTAGATGCGTTTGACGGCCTGAAGATGAGTTGATTTGGGGTTGTGCATGTACTGACAAACTTGATTAACGGCAAAGGAAATGTCAGGGCGGGTGAGGGTCAGGTACTGAAGTCCACCAACCATGCTCCGATAGACATCAGAATCCGAGATAGGATCACCATCATGAGCAGACAAACGCAAGGAGGAGAGGAATGGTGTAGTAAGAAAGAAATTAGGATTACCAAACTTTTTTTGAGTTGAACGTTCACATTCTCTCAAACCCCGAGCTAAGTAAGAAATAGTGTTTTGGAGGACAGGAGAAAGAAATTGCTGCTGTAATCCAGAGGTTGGAGGCATTTACGGAGAGAGCCATAGATTTAGAGACGCAGATCGAGAATAAAACAAAAGGGTTAGAACTAACAGACGAAGAAAGCAGGATAGTGCAAGATTTGAGCAGAGAGATAGTTAGCAAGTTTTTGGAGAAACCCATCCAGTTCTTGAGGAGCAGTGACGGGGACTTGGAGGAAAAATTGAAGGAACTCCAATTTCTTGCGACCATTCTTGAAGAGTCATGTTAGAAAGGAGGAATTCATGCATGGCTAGCCGCCACTGATGAAGTTATGAATCTGTGCAGTTGATGAGAGAGAGAGAGAAAGCTTGATTTGGGTTGTAAGAAAAATGATTCTCATTACACTTTTCTGATATCTCATTACACAAGGATATATACATCAATAATTATATCCTAGTCAGCAATACATAACCGACTATATCAAACTTAGCTTAATAGCTAAGCTAAGTACTAATCTAGTGCATTGTGTGCATTACAATCTGGTGGTCCTTCATTCTCCTTAATACACCCCCTCAAGCAGAAGGAAGAAGGGCGAACTGAAAGCTTGAACCGAAGCTGTGCAAATCGATCAGCAGGGAGGGATTTGGTAAAGATATCAGCGAGTTGGAGTAAGGAAGCCACATGATGAACACTGATATGTCCCAGAAGAACCTTTTCGCGGATGTAGTGATAATCGATCTCTACATGTTTAGTACGGGCATGAAATACTGGGTTGAAAGCTAGAGCAATGGCACTCTTGTTATCACAGAAAACACTCGGGGTTTTCAGAAGAGGAAAGGAAATGTCAACCAGAATTTTACAAACCCAACTGAGTTCGGCAACAGTATGAGCAAGAGAGCGATACTCAGCTTCAGTAGAAGAACGAGCTACTGTACATTGTTTCTTGGCACTCCAGGAGATGAGATTGGGTCCAAGAAACACACAGTATCCATTAGTAGAACGTCTGTCCACAGGGCAACCTGCCCAATCAGCATCAGTCCATGCTGTAAGAATTTGCCGACCTTTGGTAAACCACAACCCGGAGTCAAGGGTACCCTTCAAGTACCGGAGAATCCGTTTGACAGCCTGCAAATGAATAGTCCGGGGAGTATGCATGTACTGACAAACCTGGTTGACTGCAAAAGCCAAATCCGGTCGTGTCCAAGTAAGATATTGAAGGGCACCAACGGTGGAGCGATAAGAAGTAGGATCTGTGAGAGGAGAACCAGAGTGATCCAACTTTATGGAACTAACGGGAGTGGTGTAGGGTTTGACCCCAAGCATATCCGTCTTCTTAAGTAAGTCCAAGGCATATTTGGACTGATGAAGAAACAATCCTTTTGCAGATCGGTGAACCTCAATGCCGAGAAAATAATGAATATCACCTAAGTCTTTGACTGGAAATAAGGATTGAAGCTGGGAAATAATGGACTGACAGAGGGCAGGGGAACTTCCAGTGATAATGATATCATCCACATACACTAAGATGAAGGTGATGAAAGAGTCTTTCTTGATGAAGAGACTAGTGTCCGAGGAAGAAGAAGAGAAACCCAACGAAACCAGTGCACTGTAGAAGGCTTCATACCAAGCTCGGGGAGCTTGTTTGAGTCCATAGAGAGACCGTTTGAGTTTACAAACATGGTGAGGCTTAGACTGATCCACAAAACCAGGAGGTTGAACCATATACACATCTTCTTTGAGATAGCCATGCAGAAAAGCATTACTGACACTAACTGATGTACAAACCAATCATAGCTCACAGCAAGAGACAAAAGTATTCTGATGGTGGTCGGCTTTGCTACAGGGCTAAAAGTTTCAGAAAAATCGAGGCCTTCTTGTTGATGAAACCCTTTAGCTACCAACCGAGCCTTGTATCGTTCTATTGAACCATTAGCTTTGTGCTTAATTTTGAATACCCATTTACACCCAACTAAATTGTAACTTGGATGAGAAGATACTAATTCCCAAGTACCAGTGGATTGAAGTGCTTGATATTCATCTGTCATGGCTTTTACCCAAGCAGGATGCTTGGAGGCTTGAAGATAAGTGGTAGGGTCGGAGGAATGATGGTGAGTGGATCAACGGAAGGGGAGAGATGATGCTTAGTGGCTGTAAAGATCTTAGGCTTAGAAAATACCGGCTTTGGCTCGGGTAATCATAGGATGGTGGTTGGTTGGGATAGTTGTAGGAGGGGGACAGGAGAAGAAGAAGAGGGAGGAGGGAGGGGTACTGATGAGGAGGAAGGTGAAGATGAGGGATTTTGTAGAATGGCAGGAGGGGTTGGAGTAGGATGAATAGGTATAGTAAGAGAAATAGGGTGAGATAATGAAGGAGAAGAAATAGAAGGAGAGGATACAGTAGGAGAAGGTAAAGGGAGAGAGTGCTTGAAAGGGAAAAAAGTTTCATCAAACACCACATGTCTCGAAATGTATAACCTGTTAGTAACCGGATCAAGACAACGGTAACCGCTGTGATTCAAGCTGTATCCCAAGAACACACAAAGTTTACTCTTTGGATCTAACTTACTGGATGAGTAAGGTTGGAGCCAGGGATAACATGCACACCCAAAAGTCTTCAAGAGATGATATTGAGGTGGAGCTTTGAAGAGTAATTCCCAAGGACTGATAGAAGAAGCCTGAGGAGGAAGGCGATTGATGAGATATACTGCAGTTTGAAAAGCCTCAATCCAGTACTGAGAAGGTAAGCCACTGTGAGATAATAAAGTTCGACCCATTTCAACCACATGTCTATGTTTGCGTTCCGCACATCCATTCTGCTCAGGAGTGTGAGGACAACTCAATTGATGAGTTATGCCTTGAAGATTAAAGAAGCTTTGCAAAGTAGCACTTAAGAACTCACCCCCTGAATCAGATCGCAAACGTTGAACTTTGCTGTCGAAAAGAGTTTGAACTTTGAGAACAAAAGTCTGAAGAACAGAACACACATCGGATTTATAATGCAGTGGATAGAGCCAGCTATATTTAGTGAAATCATCAACTAGTATTAGATAATAGCGATATCCAGTACAAGAAGAGGTGGGGGAAGGACCCCATACATCAGCATGAACAAGATGAAATGGCCGAGTAGATCTACAAGGTAAAACAGAAAATGGCAATCTTGAAGCCTTCCCAAATTGACAATCAGAACAAACAGACTTCTGAGAATGTGAACCAGCAACAGACAAGTGACCTTTATTTACTATTTTATTGAAAACTAGACTTGAAGGATGACCAAGCCGTCTGTGCCATGTAGTGATATCAGCTTTAGCAATCATTAGAGCATGAGGTGAAATAGCAATGCCAGAAACACCAGTAGAAGTATGCCAGTAGAAAGGGTACAATCCTCCTTCACTGGGGCCCTGGAAAAGCATCCTCCCAGTTCTTAGATCCTTGATGTAGAATCCAAAGGGATCAAAAGTCAGCGAGCAACAGTTGTCATACACAAATTTATAAACGGACAGGAGATTATGAGAGGCTTGAGGAACTAATAACACATCATGAAGTTTGAACACAACATTAGGAGTGCGTATTAAAGCATTTCCAGTATGAGAAATACACAAACCTTTGCCATCACCCACGAAAAGTTGTTCAGTGCCTGTGTATGGTGTGGCAGAGTTTAGCGAGGCTGGATCAGGAGTGACATGATGAGTCGCTCCACTGTCAGTAATCCAGTAGCTTGGAGGATGGGATCCAGTCAGAGCATTGAAACCCATGGGAGGGGAACGGTGAGAAGCAAATTGGGAGAGAGAGCCACAATAGAGAGCAGAGTGACCATATTGATTACAAAGCTGACAAGGAATGGATTGTCCAGGTTGGGATGGTCCAGGAATAGGACCGGAGTGTGCACCAGAAAATGAGGAACGAGAGGGAACAGGACCAAGAATACCTCCAGACAAATTATGTTGGCGATTGGCACCAAAGTTGCGATTCTGAGGAAAGCGATTACGATTGTGGTATTGATTGCGATTTTGATTCTGATATTTGCCTCTGAAGTTGCCTCTGAAAGAAGGAGAACCAGACGAGCCTTGTTGAGCAGTATAAGCATGGAAGGGTGCAGAACTTGAGGATGTAGAGCCTTGTCGAGTCTTGCGTTTTTGAAGGGAAATCTCCTTACTAAGTAGAAGACCATGGAGTTCATCACCATTAACAGACTCAGTTCTTGTCTCGATTGAGTCAACAAACGATTCATACTCATCTGGGAGACCAGCGAGAATATAAGCCATAAGATCTGAATCAGAAATCGATTCACCAGCAGCAGCAAGCTTATCAGAGATGTCCTTAATAGTGTTGAGATACTCAGTCATGGAAGCATCACCTTTCTGAATAGTCTGGATTTTAGATCGGAGACTATGAACATGAGTACGCGAAGCGCCTGCGAAACGACGTTCAAGAGACTGCCACAGAGAACGAGAATCTTCCATTCCAATGGTCAGAGGAAGAAGATCTTCAGCAAGAGTGGAGTTGATCCAAATCGTCAAGATTTGGTCACGTTCACACCACAATTCGTACGCAGAGTTAGGAATCTGAGATCCAGACGAATCACGAACACACGGAGGAGGACAAGGATCATCTCCAGTAAGAAGCCCTAAAAGCTTGAATCGCTTCAGAACGGGAAGGAATAAGCTACGCCAGGTGATGAAATTGTGCCGATTGAGTTTCGTCGGAACCATTCCAGCAATGTTTTGAACAGTAATCGTCGCAATCGATGGAGGCACATTAGTAGAGATCTCACCAAGAGGAGTAGGACCAGAAGAGGTAGCTGGAGGAGAGGAATCAGAGGAGGATGGATGAGGCGCCATAGCGGTTGCAGACAGAATGCACGAGAGAGAGAAAAGATCTGTTTGGGAGATAAGAAAAAAAAAATGCAAGAAGGACGTAAGATCTGTTTGGGAGATAAGAAAAAAAAAATCCAAGAAATTAAGAAAATGAGGGAAGCGAAGGATCGACGTCGGTGGACTCCGGCGAAGATACCATGATGAAGTTATGAATTTGTGCAGTTGATGAGAGAGAGAGAGAAAGCTTGATTTGGGTTGTAAGAAAAATGATTCTCATTACACTTTTCTGATATCTCATTACACAAGGATATATACATCAATAATTATATCCTAGTCAGCAATACATAACCGACTATATCAAACTTAGCTTAATAGCTAAGCTAAGTACTAATCTAGTGCATTGTGTGCATTACAATCTGGTGGTCCTTCATTCTCCTTAATAGCCACTGCAGAAAACCCTCAAACCAAAATTTTGTCTTTGGCTGACGAGAGATTCCATGGCACAAAGTTGGTAACGCAAAATCCGTCACTTAAAGGTTTGTCCGACAAAATATAAGCATTCGCTTGGCGAACACAGTTGACCCGACGAAACAAAGTCGTTGGATATAAAGGAGCGTTTCTTGGTCTAAGAACTACAAGCAAAAATGCCCGTGCGATGCCGCGGGTTTACAACTCTAGTTACACATAATTACAACAATGTTTCTAATTCTACTACTACATATATATATATATATATAGACAACCATGCTCACAATCTTATTTACACACATACTAATTAGCATTTAAAACTATGTTAAATGGGGGGAGTTTTACCTCAGTACAAAACTTGATAAAATTAAACAAATCCCCATGTCATTGATTCTTCATTTTGACCCCTGCTCTTATAAAATGCGCTGAATGTTGCACATAGATCGTCGATTTCCACTGCAAAGAAGGGATTCTCCATCGTTACCACTATTGGTGTTCTCTTCATGTTTTCCTTTGCCCAAATATTGGAAATTCCAATTTTGAAGCCATTTTCTCACACTAAATAGCAAAAAAATAAATTTAAAAATTAGAGAAAAATAAAGAAAAGCATCAAATAACTTATATTTGGAGACAGAAAAATAAGCAAAACCCAGTTAAGAACTCACCATAAAAAACCAAACTTTACCGAAGAAAACTCCAAAAAACTAAAAAAAAAAAAAAGAATTGAAGAATCCATTTGAACTTTACACAGAATGCAGCAAAGGAAAGGCAAAAAAGAAAATTATAAGCCATCAAGCTCAACCCTTTAATTTAAACTCCAAAAAAGTTAAACACAACCCCATTGAATCGTTAATCTTACTGTAACGACAAATTATTATGGCCAAACTTTTGGTGCCTACCAAGTTTTCATATATATATATATACAAAGCATATAAATTCTTCAGTTTTATACATTCTTAAGCATTGTACAACAATGTCATATGCTTGTGTCTGCTCCATATCAAATACCTCATAATATAGGCGAATCAAGTGATTACATGTATATATATGAGCGACGTAGAACAAAGTTTTGTTTGCCAGTGTATAGCATATTTAAAACAATGATAAAAAGTGGATCCCTTTTCAATGGGACTAAGTCAATTGAGACACAATCATATGCCAAACTTTTTCATTACAATCATAACCAGAGATCTATCATAAAAGCTCTCATAGGCTTATTTTAAGCTCTGAAGCAACCGCAAATGTTGTATCGTTTCATATAGAAAAAGAAGAGATGAACCAGACTAAACATTAATAAGAAAATCTCAAGGGTCTTAATATTTTCAAAGCATCCATTACCTCAACTCATTTTAAAATATTTTTGAAATATGGTGTCATTCAATAACCTATTAAACAGAAGATAGGAATGTTGTTGGGTTTAGTGTATATTTCTTTGAAATGTTAGGTATTTGACAATCCAAATCTTTTCGTTATCTTAATTACAATTGCTAACCTCAGAAACTTGCAATCAAATTCTCCAAAGAATAGCCAATGACATAATGATGGTAATATACTTTCTTATAAAACAAAACAGATACAATATGTTTTTCATCATATTCTAGAAATGAGTAAATTTTTAATTGCCTTCTCAAACAGTATGTGTGTGTGTGTATTTGGGCAATCTGGGTATAATTCATAAGTTCATTGAACATGATTTCATAAACAAAAAAAAAAGATGGAAGCTTGATGCATGCCCAAGAATCAAAAGAACGCATAAATTTTTCATTGCGTATGAACCGTACCAACAAAAAAAAACCCAGAAACCTAAATTAATAAAAAAAAAATCCAACAATTGAAAAACCCACCCCAGTTGAATTGAATAAATCCCAGCAAACTCATATAAATAATTATACATTTCAGACTGAAAATGGAAGCCAACGTCAAGTACCTCAAGATTGAGAGAGACAAAGCTGAGATATCAATGGCAGAACAGGAGGAGGAGTTTCTGGGGATTTTTCTTGCTGAAATTTTCCTAGATGCGTGTACACCTTGAAGAGGTTGTAGAATTACGCGTCTCACCCACGCGTCACACCCATGCTTGTACAAAATGAAAAATGTGAAATTAGGGAATAATTTTGGAAAATAGGAAATAGGGTACAAAATCAAAATTCCAAAACCCCAAATTGAACGCAAAACATCAGAATTCATAATCAATAGAACGTGAAAAACTGTAACCTATCGAAAATACAGAAAGAGAGAGATTGAAATACAATTGGGGTTAATTTCGAAAACCCTCTTCGAAACAGTAACGATTCAAGGCATGCAACAGCTGTTTCTTGTTCCTGAGATGAACGGGAGACGACTGGCGGTAACGATGGGGTTCGATTCGCCGGCGTTCGAACAGCAACAGCTCGCTGTCGTTGCTAGCAGAGTCATGGAGAGGAGCAAGAGAGAAGAGAAACAACGAAGAAGAAAGGAAAGAAATAAATAAAAAAGATCAATATATATAATTTGTAAAACAATGGCATACTTGTAATAACAAAAACCTAACAGGGGCAAAAAAAGAAACACACTGTGCTTATGAATAATGTTTCAGTTATATTTGAGTTTTAGTATATATTGAATTTGTTTGTTTGGAATCTTTTTTGTGCATGTATTCTTGCGATGCCACGAGAATTATTATTTGTTTGTAATTAAATCATGAACAATATTGTCAATGCAAAGAGTTTAGGTTATTGCCTTTTTTGGGAAAGATTTTCAAAGAGCCTTTTTTTTTCTCCTGAACAAACGATATTATCTACATTAAAGAGGAGGAGGTTGACTTAACCTCACAATGGACTAACAATAATGTGGTTCAAATTCGTCTTTGACGAGAATCGAACCTAAGACCTCTCACTTACAAGTAAAGAGGAATACCACTAGACCGTAGTACTAAGTGACAATTTCAAAGAGTTACTCTTCCGCATAATTTATAACATGTTTAAATATTTTTATTAATTTACCCTAAAGATATTAACCGTTACATTGTTCACCTTATTATAAAGCGTGAAAGGATTGCCACCTTATCTTGACATAGTTTGGGTAAACTCAAATCTATATCCTTTCACCTTATCTTGGCATAGTTTGGGTAAACTCAAAATCTATAGTACTAGTGTTATAGTATTGTGCTGTGTGGAATGATGAGTTTATTTGTTTGGTTCTATGGGATGGATTTATGCCTTCGAGCAATATTATTTGTGAGTTGATTTGCGTATTCTTTGTGTGGTGACATGAGAGTGAAGGGCCTACGGATGGAGAGATTTTTTAATTAATGTGACTGGTACACAAAATGGTATATCACGTGTTATTATATAAATAGTGAGATATATGTGTTAAAAAATTAATAACTTAAAATATATTTTTTTTAAAAACACATGATATACCAATCGTGTTCTAGTCACAATGAAAATTTTCTCAGACGGATGACCTTAGGATTCGATACCTTAAACTTTCGGAGAATTTGTACGGACATAGTCCAATACCCCTGCAAGTGCGGTTAGTTATGTTGTCCGACCATGGAAGCTACTTTATCATGCCTGGTAGGTGGAGTGGGTCTTAAGGTTAGATACTGCGATACCTTAAAGCGTTTGTGAATGCTAAGTGAGCACATAAGCGTGGCATTGTTACGTATATATTTCAGCATGACAAAAAGCAGTATATGTTTTATATAAGCCATAATTTACACTAAAATTTATCTAAATTAAAACTGAAAACTTAATCTATAACCCAAGTATAATCACAGTAAACAAAAAAATAAATAAATAAAAATTATAAAAAAACCACAAGACGTTGGCTGCAGAAGTCGTTCTCTTATTTAAGGATACAACCCGAAATTTACAACATTTAGTTAGCATGCATGTGAGTCACGATCTTTTATTTAAGGTTACAACCCAAAATTTACATTGGTTGACCATGTTGTAATATACATATCATATCAGTACCACAAAACTGCAACCTCCTCTCCTTAGAGCTTCTCAGTTCTCACAAAACCTCAACTTTCATGCATAAGCCCGGCCATGCTCAAGCTGATCATTTGGTCCTTCGAAAAACAGTTCATCTTTCTGGTTGTTGAAAATACTTTCCACCTCACTCGCCGGCACATTAAACGACAGTTCCTTGGCTTGCCTGTCGAACTGGCTCACCACATTGTTCTTCCCTACCAGTGGGAACCTGATGTTGTCATGAGCGTTGACCTCGAAGCAGAGGACTTGGAGGTGGTTGTTCCTTGAGGCAATGGTTGTGACAGGATGGCCGGCGGGGGCAACGAACACCGCTCCGCGTCGCAAGTCTCCGCTCATCTTTTGGTAAGTTGGGCTGCTCTTTTGTCTCTGCTGTGACCTTCCACTGGACTGACGTTGTCGACCCCTTGAGTCAATATGTGGACATGCCATTTCAAAGTAGCCTTCGCCATCTAGCACAACTGATATCTTCGTAGCCCTTGAGTTGAAATATGGACCGGCCATTCCACCCTACGTATATCACAAGGAACATAGAATCCATCATTATTTACTAATTTAAGGTACGTAGGAGTTGTGCTGAATTAATCTGGTAGAACTATTTGAAAAGAAAATATTACGAGATATTGCTTGGCTCTTTGTATTCAATGATTTAGTGAAACCACAGTATTGAAACAGATGTTAAGAATAAGTTAGACCAATTAAAAACACAAAAGAAAAGACGAATTTGTGCCGACAAGTATGATGTCTAGAAATAAGTCGTACAAAAAAGGACGAGTTTCGCATTTGTAAGCAGGAATTGCGAAATCACAGATTGACACATACACGAATAAGTTATTAGAAACACAATTATAAGCTTATATAAAAGAAGTCGATCTGTGATTGACTTATATACAAAAATCAACCACTAAAAACACGAAGGGATGAATTTAATTATAAACTTTTATTCTTATATTCTTACCCGGGTGATGTTAGCAAATGAGACGACGAGGTTAAACTCCTGAAGCTGCTTGAAGTCGTTGAAATCAGCTTCAAAGAGACGGCCGAATTTGTTTTCATGAGAAGGATGCTTCTTGAAAAGATTGAATGAATCTTTTGAAGATGATTCATCACCGCCATGGAAAGGCAGCGGCCAAATGCCTTCGCCGCCGCCGTGACCATGCTGCTGGCTCATTCTCTGTACTTGTTCTTTGGAGGCCCTTATGATACTGCCTCGCCTCTTCTGCCCAAATAGCCTATCCAACTTATTCCTATCCGTCTGTTTAATTAGAAGCACAAACATAATTAACTCACCAAATTAGTAATAAAGCACAAATATTCAACAGAACGGAGTTGAGGTATGTTATACCTTAAAAGCGGCTTGAAGAACTTCGGGGCTGAATGCTCTGAAAAAGGATTCGGGGTCTTGGCCTCCGGCTGAGTGAAACGCCGCATACTCTCCGGGGGTAGAGACTGTTTTGAAGAGTTCGACAATATGGAGCTTTTCATTCTCGTCTCTATTGAGCACATAAAATGGGGTGCCTGCTGGAATCCTAAAGAGATCTCCACGTTCAAGATTGTGGCTCTCTTTCTTCTCCCCCCTCACCGTAGTAATTGTTGGTCGGCCTTAATTCACATAAATAAGGTAGAAAAAAATTGATCAATCAAGAAAAGAAATGGATTATGTAGCTGGGATTCCAGTATTTCACAATAATTAGAAGAATTATCCTAACAATTGACCTACTTACCTTGGAAAACAAAGAGGATACTATCCGCATCAAGATGAGTCGGAGCAACGAATGCATGAGGCTCCGTGACAAGAAACCCGACTCGAAAGTTCTCAATCCCACGCAGAAGATCAGACCTTTCGTTGAATTTCTGCAGAACCTGAACCCTACCTTCCTCGGTTTGAATTCTCGTCTCGAAATGCTGGTCTTCGAAGAAGTAAGGATTCTCGTCTCCTTGTTGTTGTTGCTGTTGCCCTCGCCCCTCGAACTCCTCTCTCTCTCGTGTGTAAAAACTTCCCCCTTCTCCTCCTCTTCCTCCTCCGCCTTCCGACCTCCGCCGCTGATCCTCCTGCTCCCTCTTCTGCTTAATGTAGTCCTTGCACTTCCTCTCGCACTGTTGCTTCTGCCTCTCATCAAACCCTCGCTGGTGTTTGCACTGGTGCTGGCACTGCTTCAGCTCCGGATCTTCCAAAACCACAGCGGCCGCAAAAGGACTCAGAACAAAAGCAGACAACAGCAAGAAAACCACGAAAACCTTGCTTTTCAACTCCATGGCTTTTTTCTAATATCCCAGAAATTATTTTTTTGCTTGATCTTGTGTTTGATGGAGATGATGAAAGCAGGTGGCTCTATAAATATGGAGGGATTATGGGATAAGGAAGTGGGATCGAAGCCATGCATGACGACGAGTGTCCGATTTACGTGTCGATCGTTAGATCAATCCAGAGCTCCAGTGGAGACTATTTTGACATGCCTTGTAAGCTTTTGTAGCAGCGGTTTCTGGTTTTGGATTTACATTGAATTGTTTTGCGTTGTAGTACGTTAATTAATTGGGACGGACAAAAGGTCGGGGAATTTTTATTTGGTGAGTTTTGGTGGGCATGCAAAAAGGATGCGACGTCTGATCGGTGTCTTCTGCAGCGCTCACCATGTCCATGTGAATCACACGGCAGTCACCTGTACGGACATGTAAGGTTTTAGCTACCAAACAATTATCTATTGACTTCCTTTCTTTAATTTTTTTTCTCTGTCAGATAATTCTCTCACTACTATAGCTTGCAAAATTTCGTTACTGAAATCAGCGTAATCATATTCATTAGAACAAATATTTTTAATTGATTCCTCTTTTATCTTTATTAGACGTGATTTTTTTAATAACTATGGTCATAAGCACTTCTACCAAAAGTATAACCATTTAAAAAAGAAAATGCTTTTTGTCTGCAACGTGCTTCTTCAGAAAGCGTTAAAAATGATCTTCTAATCTCCTTTAAGATTACTAGTATAGCGATGTGAGATGTTCCATATGCAAGAATAAGTCATTCATCTCCAAAATCCTATAGCAATCAAAGCCATTTCGCTTGTACAATGTTACCAACGAAATAACAAAATGTATGCACAAGTTCAGTACACAAACTTCTCAATCATTTTCGCCCAACATACGAGAACTAATATGCTTCCATTTCTTTCTGCTAAAATCTACCATCCGAGCTTTAGAAAGATAGTTGGAAACTAATTCTCTCAAAGTTCAGGCATGCCCTTCCCCGTCTTAGCATCGTAAGTCTTCTCGAACACGACATCCATCGGAGTGTCCTTGGGGCCAGCTGCAACCAAAGTTTGTTTGGATTATCAGCGGAAAATATGGCAAACTGAGATATGTGTTCACAAGTAGCAACAAAAGAATATAAGATCTGAGGACTTGAGATAAGTACCAACTGTAGGTCTTGGAGTAGTCCTTATCTTCAAGATCTCAGGACGAGGGATTATAGATCCCGACGCACCTAATCCCCTAGATACTCGAACTTTCATTCCATCCTCGAGATATCTCACACCAACCTTAACAGGCCTCCTGCAGGATGAAATTTTTTATCACCACGCTGAAAGCGTGAAACAAGGGACGAAGACTTGACGAATTTTAAAACATAATGTTAAGACGAGTGCATGCTTACCCTGTCACTGGATCAACAACTTGAACATTTGAGGCATGGAGAGGTGCTTCAACAGTAAAAATCCCACCTTCATGACCTTGGCCTTGCTTGATATGTTTCTTCACCTGCAACGACAGTGTACTTCTTCAGCGGCAACCAAAGTTCACATAATTTATTGGAACCTTGAACATCAAATACTACATGATTCTTGTCTGAATGGTATCCTTCAGACCTATGGATTTTTCAACATGACGAGACTCATTCCATATGCATTGCACAATAGAACTTCACTAATATGATCATTAGACGACCTTCCAACCATTAAAGATACTTACAATAAATAAGCATACTGCTGACAGACTATCAACCGCATTACACTGGCCAATTCCACTTGCTTGATTGTACCAGTGTGGAATGAGCACAGGCCCAAAAACATGATCACATATTTCTGATGATAATGATAGAGATCATCTACAATCTCAATCTGATTGGAGTGACCAGAACAGAACGGATTTGTAACAAGTATACTCACGAAGAAAGAATGCTATAATTAATATCGAAGGGAACAGTATATAAATTTCTCATGGAATTGTAAGACAAAATCGGATCAATGAAACAGTATACCAACAATAGGGCCAGAACGATACCAGATTTTTGCCTTCTACGATGACACGATTCTGAGAGCGAATGACTCGCTTGATGACACCCGTCTCGCCCTTGTCTTTGCCTCTTGTTATCATCACCTGTAAATGAGATTAGAAAAACTATTAACTAATAAATAATGGATAAAGAAAGAGGCACAAAGAAAATGATATACATTCCCCCCTCACATTATCTCCTCTGAGAATCTTCCAGTGCCTAATGAGTTTCTCGGCCGCTTTCCAACCCATTTCAAATTAAACCCAGATATCTGCAGAAGCCAAAACAAACATTACAGTCAAAACATGTGATCTTTTAATGGCTGATTAGTTTAACACTCACATTAAATCTCACAGCATAAGAAACAACCCCATTTCCTAAAATCAGCGAGTGGGTTTATCGAATTTTTCCTGTTAAATACAATTTTCATAGCAAAACTTAGATTTCCAAGTAAACAAGCAAAGAACCCAGTTTCCAAACGCGTTCCCACTTGTCAAAAAGCGTTGAGGTATTTCGTCTAACACTTGGTGGGCATTTTATGCTTAACGAGTAACTTCATATAAGCAGGTGCTAACTATTACACGAGCAACAATAAGCTCACCTAAGTGAGAGTAAAAACCGAAATTACATACTTTTATCTTGGCGTCTGCGTCCGCACGGTCGGTGGAGTTATACCAGAAGAGCTCGCTCAGAAGAACAGGATGAAGACGAAGTTCAAATTTGGAAAGGGATTTAGGGGAAGACGAACGAAGAGAACGATTTCTACGGTTTTAGGATTTTAGGTTGGGCCCAGATTTAATTATTTGACAACAGGCCCAAGAAAGATACTAATACTATGCCGTTTATGTAATTTTTGGCATGAATTTGGTCGGATTTATTCGGATACTTAGAGGTCGTAGTTAATTTGGATTTCAGAGGATTTTAAAAGACTTTTTGAAGTAGATTTTGAAGAATTTTAATAGATTCTAACAATTTTATATAGATTTTGACAGATTTATATGCGTTTGTATTATAGATTTCTATGAATTTGTTTCTTTCATAGATATCTTAGGATTTTTAGTGAACTTTTATAATGTAAATGAATTTCTTTACACAATCTGAAAGTCCAAGTCTTTAACATCTTTCTCACGCGAATATTCTAGTGGATAGAGTGTTGGGTATCCACTCATGTGTACCTGATTCGAAATTCTCCCTCTCTCTAAATTATTGTATCTGAATGAACAAAAGTGTATTCTTAATAAAGGACACATCACCTCAAGATAATTACGGAGCATAAACGAAAGATAAAATAAAACAGTCATCTTGAATACAAACTTCAAAAAAATAAAGGAAAACTAATGAAAATGGCTTGAAAACTTTAAGTTTTAACGATGGTGATGCAGATGGTGATGCAAGTTTGTAGCATTTGACACATGAGATGGAATAGAAAGTGGCAAAACAGTAGACATATGAGATGGCATTGCATACATTTGATTTTCGCCAGGGAAACTAGAATGCATAGCAGTCATATGTGGTGTACGTAGGTGTATAATTCCTATTTCTGTATAAGCAAGTGACAGCACTATGATTTATCCTGTTGCAAATTTGACAAGGTTTAGAAGAACCAGTGTTTCTGTAAACACAATTAGCCGCACCGTGTCCTTGTTGAGCACACAATTGGCAAGTGATTGTAGATGAGGATACTCCAGTGTGAAGTTGAGATGGATTTCCCAAAATTCCAGGAGTATACTTATGCGTGACAGGTTTAGGTTATAGTACCTTTGACCTTGGTTATACTAAAACCTGCCTTTGCCTTTTGATTTGGAATAGAAAAGGTCGGTTGCCTCCATTAGCCCACCCCTTTTATCAAAACCTATAGCTTCGCCGTTGTAAACGACGGTGTTTTATGGTGGTACTACTACAACAACAAGCGACCAAGTGATTTTCTTTAACGAAAACAGAAAGAAATCCGTCTATAGGCAACATCAGCGAAGTAATCGGGTTGTGCTTGTTAGACATTTCCTTGTAGCCTATGCAACACGTATGCATGCAACACTGATGACTAATACATTGCTTTAAGACTTGTTTATACACCATTAAATGGAAAATATTTGGCTATTTCCTATAAGGAATAATATTTCCTTTCAAACAAATCACAATGAGGCTAGTATACTTGGCTTTTTCTTTTTGTGCTTATTGGAGTTATCTTGGTACACTTGATTTACATGTAAGACGGAATGACTCCTTGCATAGAAGGAGCCAATTTAGTAGTGTTTATTTGTAATTTACTATGTAGGTCTCGCTATAATATGTGCTTGTTTAACGTTTCCTTATCTCCTATGCAACACTGATCATTAATACATTGTTGGTGACTTATAAAATTACATTCATCTTGCAGCTAAATCACAGTTTGACATATATACAAATCTTTTTCCTTTTGTGCTTTTTATGAGTTATTTATGTGTATGTGACAAATTGTAATTCACAACTAAAAAGGAATGGATCCTTATAGATTTGCCCATTAATTTTTATTTTTAATTTACTATGTATGTCAAGAAATATTGTGATACAAAGACAAGTTCACAGGCTCATAGCTATTTGTAGGTTTTCTTTTGCTCACAAAATACTTATATTTTAAATGTTTAAGATGGCCAAATCATTTTCACTCCTCAGCTTTCTAATCGTTCTTGTTCTTCTGTGTGTTCAGGTAACTACTAGGTAACTTGTCATATATATGTGCAGCTACTACTGATGTCAAGAGATGCAAAGTGGTGATAGCGGATTATCGCTGCAATTAATAATACACGGTATGACGAGAAATGTGAAGAAAAATGTTGGTTGCAAGAACTCAGCAGCTCGTCAAAATGCGAAACTGCCCCCGGCGTGTCTGGTGACATATTTTGCACATGCATGGTTCATTGCGATTAGGGTTTCTCTTTTATGTTATATTGATTATACTCGACGGAATCCGCATAGGGTTGGTCGAGTTTATGCAATTGTCCACCTCACCGTTGTTGAACATGAAATTGTCTAGTTCGTGTTTGATGTTTTCCTTAAGCATGGAGCGGCAAGATCAAAATGCCTCAAAATGGCATGCGGACTTCATCTGGCTCCCAAGAGGAAAATACAATGAATTCGCCATTGTACACATTTGATAAGCTATCACGTATTAGACGACAATCACTAGCCCAAACGATTAAACATCTAATAAGCCAAGCTAACAATTTTTATCAAGCTTACACCATCCCGATCAACACGATATAAAATTAAAGATCTTAAACCATAAAAAAAATGCATATGATACATAGGTATCTATCTAGCAATAACTAGTAAGAATTGAAAACCATAATTCCCAACATTATCAGTAGGACAGATGGTGGGGAAACATAAGATAAACTCGATGCTGATGGGGTCAGCTGTGGTCGTCCGATTCCTTGGGTACTTTGTGTTGGAGCTTCTGATTCATCTGATGGAGATGCTGGCTGCAGATCATCAGATGTTCCAGATTCTGGTGCAGGACCTGATGCAACTGCCTTAGAAGCTGCCCATCAATTCCAATATATCAACGTTAGTACTATAGCCTTCATAAAAAAGAGTAAGTCTTCTTTGAAATTTAAAAGAAAATTAGCTAGTAATCAATAAATATTACCTCTTGGACTTGAAGAAACTGTTGGTGGAGGAGTTGGCCCTAGTAACGAAGGACCTGCCAGTTCAAGTACTAGTTAACACGTTGGCACAAAGTCTCAGCCAATCTAGATGGGTCATGCAAGTCACAATATGTCGGACAATTGCGCAATTTAACAAGTCTAGTCTTTATATGTACAAGTTAACCGAAAATAAGACACGAGAGTCCATTTTAATTGATTAGTCTTGTCCTGTCTCGAGGTTTAAATTTTTACGTTCTTAGAATAACATGAATTTGAACATACCTGGAGCAGGTAAAGGACTACCAGAGGCTGCAGATTGAGAAGAAAAAAATCGCAAAATTAGATTTCGACTACAAGTGAATTATTGTCACCTAAAGTATGAATGAGTTTGTTAAAGGGTACTTGGCAAAACACTTTCAAGAAACAACAAAGTATGAAATATTTGATTAGCAAAACCAAATAATATTCTCATAGAAATAACTAGAAAGAAATTGTATGAATGTGATGAAGAGAGAAGAGAAAGTAAGGAAATTTTGTAGACAACAAATTTCTGAATGATTCTTCTCTTCTGCCAATGTTACCAATATATAGAGTATTGCACCCGTTAGACACATCATTTAGTTTGAGTATGTCTTTTCACTATGGAATACAACTTATTGCAGTAGTATATCCAATAGACATATCTGATACAAAACATCAATTACCCAAAAATCATATATGTTATAGAGCATGCGGTCAGGTACCCAGTCAATGGGTATGTCTGTTAGCAACAATGAAAAGCTGCAATGCTTCAAATTGAAGAGATGTATTGGGCAAAGAACCCAACTCTTTTCTACCAATACAAAACGCACGCATATACATATGCCTAATATATATATATATATATATATATTCTTGAAATATCCTACAAGTATAACACAATTAAAAAAAAACAAAAAACTTATGTGAGTACGCACCCTTGCATTGCACTGGGACGCCTCCCATCTTACAAGCTCGAGGAAGAGAAAGCGCGAGGGTTCGGTTAATGGGCAGTTGGACAGGGACACCACCAGTTATAAGAAGACAAGCACAGTCCATGCCGGTGCCCATTAACGACTTTAACGAACTGCAACATCCGGCTGTCGGTGACCCGCCGTTGCTGGTACTCCCGGTGATGTAATTTGCGCATGGAGTGACGCTGCTTATCATTGAGGTTGTGCATGGTGTACTAATCTGCCCATTAACCAATCTTAGTGAAATGATTAGGAGGGTAATTGGGATTAGACTTAATCGACAATCCTTGAATGATTCCATGATTTTGTCTTCAATGGAAGGCTATAGGAATTGAAATACTGGGATTTAGAACTTAGTTGGGTTTGGCTCAAGTTGAGGAGGTATTTTATAGCTGATAAAATAGAGGTTGTGAAAATATAAAAATGAATAGTCGGTTTTGGAGTTCAACAACTTTAACTAGGTTTTTTCATACCTGGACGAATCGTCTTTTACTTACAGCATTCTCTTTTACTTCTAGTTAGCGAGAAGATATTCAATAGGACGACATTTTTAGTGTGTACATACGTCATATGTCAAGTGGAGGGAGATTTGAAAAAAAAAAAAAAAAATTCCCTCTACTTATGTAACATATAGCGTATAACTCCGTATTATGAACACAGAGAAAATTTTATCATTCAATAGGGTGTGCGACTAGGTGGATCTCAAGTGGGATATCATGTAAGATTATGTGAAACCAAAAAATAGATAAGTTTTTTATCAAAAAAAAAAAATATAAGGATTCTCTCTTCTCTTTTTATTCTCTTCCCTTCCCTCATGTTTGAACGCTAAAGATTCCCTCATGTTTGAACGCTCAAGATTTTATTTTATAAATCATCTTGTAGAGAGAGAAAGAAGAAAAAAAAAACTGTGAGAGGAGAGGAGGTGGAGTGTAAGAAAAAAAAGAAATGAAAACTAATGAAAAGGGCTTGAAAACTTTGAGTTTTAATGATAAGGACAAAATAAAGGATAAAGTGAATAGTACCAGAATTGACTTTTTAGTGTAAAAATATGATTTTTCGTTAAAGTTTTTTCGTTAAAGTGAACAATACCGGGTGCTTTTCGTTAAAGTTCCCAAAAAAGAAGGGAGATAATCTCAATCTCCCAAAAAATAGAGAGGTTTCATACTGTTGCGAAAAGTGTTTAATAAATGACGAGGTATAAATTTTTACCGGAGTTTTCCTAATTGCTTTTGACGTATACCTTATTGTAAATCCTCTTTACACATTGAAGGATATAGATCCTCTGGTGCAGTAGTGAACTATTTTAACAACTTAAACTATCACATCCTGGCTCGGGCCCCGATCACATCCTGAGCTCAACTTCATCGTAGCACGATATTGTCCACTTTGGGCCCCGACCACGTCGTCACGGTTTTGTTTCTGAGAACTTCCCAGTGGATCACCCATCATGGGATTGCTCTTGCGCGAACTCGCTTAACTTCGGAGTTCCGATAGAACCCGAAGTCAGTGAGCTCCCAAAAGGCCTCATGCTAGGTAGAGATGAGAATATACATATAAGGCTTACATGATTCAATCCCCTAGGCGGTATAAGATGTTACAATCCACCCCCTTTAGGAGGCCGACGTCCTCGTTGGCACACTTTCAGCCAGGGATTAGCTTTGATACCATTTTGTCACATCTGAGTCTTAACTCCGCCGTAGCACGATATTGTCGGCTTTAGACCCTAGCCACGCCCTCACAGTTTTGTTTATGGGAACTTACACAAAAACTTATCAGTAGGTCATCCATCCTAGGAATGTTCTTGCTTGAACTCGCTTAGCTTCGGAGTTCCAATGAAATCCGAAGCCAATGAGTCCCCAAAATGTCTCATACTAAAGAGTGTGAGCATGTACATATAAGGCATAGAGGATCCATTCTCCTAGACGATGTGAGATCTAACACGAACTACTTTGCCGGATAATTGATGATCAAATTATGTAAATTTTATTCAATTATATATGACGTGTTCCTCTCAAATATGAATGTTGTATATGTTTATCAATTTTATCTCACTTTTTGCTTTGACATATCAAGTTGTTACTGGGTAGCTCCAAAAACCAAGGTAGGTAATCTGATTTTAGAGCATATCATTGGGCATGCTTATTATTTATATTCTAGTAGGATGAACATTATTAATTAATGACAATTTATTATCTTATTTTATTAAAAAGCTATTTTTAGTTGCCAGCAAACACTAATTCAGTTGAAGTTGGCCACCCAAATACACCAATCTTTTTTTGACAAAAAGTACCAATTAATCTTAATTATTGTCTCAACAAAAAAATAATTCCCTATATAAATTCCATCCCATCCCTTATCTTTCCTCACTCAAACCCAAATCAGAAATATACAAATTACGCACACATCTTTTAAAATTTTAATCACCATAGTCCATCTCTTTTCATTATTTTAAAACAAGTCAAGTTGGCCATGGCATTCAAAGGGATTGAGATGGCTCTAGCCCTAGTCCTTGGGTCCATGCTATTGGGTGGAGCCGTGGCTCAGTCAAGCTGCACCAGCACAATCACAGGCCTGGTGCCTCAACTTCATTACTGGAAACTAATCAAACCCTTCATCTTCTTGCTGCTCACAGCTCTCTAATGTTGTCCAGTCATCTCCACAGTGTCTTTGCTCGTTGCTCAACGGTGGGGGTGCCTCATTGGGCATCACCATAAACTAAACACTCGCTTTGTCTTTGCCCGGTGCTTGCAAAGTGAAAACTCCTAACAATTTTTAGAATTCAAAGTGAGAAAGTACTAGGGTTCCGTTGTCATCCTAACAATCCTATGTAGTTCTTTTAATTATATATGAATTACACATGCATATTTTGAAGGTTAGGTTTTCCTAAAATATATCCTACTTGGAACCTCCAACATAGAACGTATATCTAACATACAACCCGTCCGTGATGTCCAGATTGAATGTGAACATGCAAGACTCGTTAAGTTTTGTGAAAACCCTTTGAACAACCATATAACCCTTAAGATGTGTCGTCCATCCTAAGAAGTTACACATATTAACCATAAGAAGCCTTAGTCAATTTTAGGGACAGTCCTCTACCAAAATTGCATCAAATTACTTTTCTAAATATCCTAATGGTCGCGAATCACTAAGACAATTAGATAGTTTTAACCGGTGATTAACAACTCAAAACTTGCATGCATAAATTCATAAGCAAATTAAAAAGAGACTACATATTCTTGCTAAGGATCATGGCTTCACCCTATCAAAAAGAATTAATTACTCATATTCAGAATAAAAATCACAAAGTCTTTATTGAAATAGAAAAAGAATAAAAACACCTTGAAAGTATAAGTCTTGAAATCTCTAAGTTTTGCCCCAAATATCCTCTCCAAAAATTGCATTAAAAAAAAAAAAACCTAGGGCCGGCAAAAAAAACTTATTTATACTACTCTAATTAAATCCTCCTAGTCAAAAGTCTTAGAATAAGACTAGGAAACTAAATAAATTGAAATAAATTAGGAAATATAATCCTAAATTAATTTGGAAATTCGCCCAAAATCCTTCATAACCACGTTTTGGACCCATATCTGCTCCAAAACTGGCCCAAAATAGCTGAATTTAAAGCTTGGGTTATTCTGAACACTTCACCAAAAGGCCACGAACTCATCTGAAATCATCTTGGGCTTCAAAAACTGCATTTAAGCCCAAAAACGTTAATTTCCAACAACTCACACTGCTCCTTTATTTAATCACCAGAAAATAACCGCTTGATAGAAATTTCTGAAATTTTGACACGAATACGGAAAGAGACACATGAACTTCCTCCAATTTGAATAACTCCAAAATTCGTTCATTTGATCATGTTTTACTCCAAAGGAAGCCGAATGTCCTATGTTGAAAATATAAAGCAAAGTATCAAAATTCTACCAAAATAATTACCAAAATATACTAAGAATGAGGTAAAATATATAATATGAAATTGACTCATCAGTGCTAACTTTGGTCTTTTTATGGCTTTGTGGGAAGGAGACATCGTTGTTGCTCAATCTTCAAGTTGCACCAAGATAATTAGCATGTCCCCATGCCTTAATTATGTAACAGGAAACTCATCATCCCCATCTTCCTCATGTTGCTCACAGTTTTCCAATGTGGTCAGCTCTCAGCCACATTGCCTCTCTGAGGTTCTCAGTGAGTTCTTCTTCACTTGGTGTGAACATCAATCAGACTCAGGCCTTGGCTCTCCCCTGTGCTTGCAATGTCCCCCAATTAGCCGCTGGGTATACAAAATGAAGTGTTACTGTCATTCCAAAAAAAAAAAAATCATTTTGTACTCCTCTTAGTATAATTTCTCTTTTGTGCACTGCATTTTAGACACACAAAACCGACCACGTTCCTGATACGGTTCTATTAGAAAGTGTGTCTGCGGTGTTTTCACTTTCGTGAATAACATTATTATTCTGGTTTATCCGTTTATGTAATTCTATAACACAGGAGTGCAACATGACTTTATTAATCTTTGTGATTGTGCAGGGTTTAGTAAACTTGTTGATTAAGTTTTAATCACGATTTTTCAGGGTCTTCCACTCCAGCAGATTCTCCATCTTCAGAAACACCAACTTCTCCTTCAGGGAGTGGATTTAAAACTGTGCCATCAACACATATGGGGTCTTCAGACGGAAATTCTAACAAGATGGCATTTTTTCTTCTGTTCTTCTTGCTCTTCATTGCATCATATGCCTCAACTTTTTCTGCCATGTTGTTGGTCCAATTTTTGCATAATGTAGGTTTTGGTGTTCATTCTTATACGCAGCGGGATATCATCGGTTACACAGTAAAATTTATCAAGGGTTAAGGATGGAATTGGCTATCTTTCATATTAGCAAATAGCAGTAAGTGTACGTGATTTCTGGTTTGTATATTGCTTAGTGTATATGGATTACATTATTTTTTATTATATATATCTTCGTGTCTATCTTTGTTGTCACGTGAGTTATATCTCTCCGTGTCTCTCTTTGTTGTCACGTGAGTTTCACTATCTATCTGCTTACGGAACTGAAATAAAACAGGCACTGAGTTTTCTACTTTTCCATGTACAATACAAACCAAGTACTAGAATCATTGCTTGTACCAAAAGGAGCAAACAGATTAATTAACTTGTCACCAGTAAAACGTTGGTGAAGCCTCCAAATGAAGTCAAATTTCAATCCTGAAGATGAAAGAACAACCATATCAACTACAAAATCATGAGTTTTGACCAATATAATCGTGTTCTTTAAGTAAATTAATCACAAAATCAAATGATAAAATGTTCTACAAAATTTGAGTTTTGACCAATATAATCGTGTTCTTTAAGTAAATTAATCAAAAAATTAAATGCTAAAATGCTCTTCTACAAAAGAACGTTTTATAAAAGCACTTTTGTAGGTCTGTCAAATTGCTCCATGACACGCAGCAAACGACCGACCGTCACTGTGCCCCCTATGCCAAGGAAGGAAGGCTTATTCTGCAGTCAAACATGAATGCATCCAACCTTGCGTTGATTTTAATCTCACTTAATTGATCTTGTTTATCAATGATCTTCGTTGTCATACAAAATTATTAAATAATGCTAGGGAGTATATGAAAAATAAAAGAAACACACCACACATAAACACAAAGAATTTAGTGAAGTTCAACGAACTTTACCTACTTTTCGTGTGATCTCTCTTGAAAAAACACATGCACTATTAATAAGTCGGTTAGAAGAGCTTATCTAAAACCTTTATGCTAAACCCCAAAACATTGCTTTTGATCTCTCTGTCAGCTCTCTCCTATTGTCTTCTCACTCAATGTAGTCTGTTGCTCATGTGAACAGACAATCCACAAATATTTGGACGGTAAAATTTTGTTAATCGTAAGTTAGATAACAAGTAAATTCTCCCATACGAAAACACAAGCTCCTATAGAGAAGACATTTGATATACCTAATCGCTTTTTGACACATTAAAATATTTCTTCTTATAAAATCGATCGATAAAACTATTTTATTGTAGTAGCTCTCGCAATTAGTGGGACCATCATAGAGTTGGATAAACAAAAGGAATAATGCTAGGAAAACTAAATTTGAAGACTAAATTTGTAAACTAAATAATGTGTCACTAATGAGAATAAGCACGTTTATCAACGTTTAAGTAATAAACCAATTATTAACTTCCCTGTCTTTTAATTTTAAAAATTTTATCTCTAAATTTAATCTCTCTAACATTACCCAAACAAAACTTTGGTACAGAGTATTGGACGAATAAAGTAAGTGGATGCCATTACCCAAGTTTAACCTATTTGGTAAGATTTTGAAAGCATGTGCCATGCACGTTTCACCTAACCAAAAATAATAAAATTGCCATGGCAAAGCGCAAAGGAAATCAGAAGCAAACAGGAATTAGGAAATTAGGAATTATCCACAAATGTTTATTCGATTATTAGGGTTAAGTGAAAGAGAATAGAACACAGAAAATTCCCAAAAAAAAATCCCCAATTTCCAATCCGTCGCTAACGCTCGAATTCTCTCGCATTACCTTCCAGACAAACAGCACGCACAAAATAACAGCTCTGAGAAGTCATCCTCTCAACCTAGAAAACCAAACGCTACCCTCTTTTTCTCTCTCACTCTCTATAAGTTTGAGCAGCAAAGCACAAATCTTTGTGTTCTTCACCCGGTTCCTGTATTACAGGTACATCCACTTTCCCTCTATATTTCTCCCTTTCTCTCATGGGCAAGGAAAAAGAAATTGTAATATGTGATTAGAGTGGTTTCAGTTGTAATTTGCATTTTTTTGCCATAATTTTGGGTGAATTGTGGTAAATTTTTAGTTAGTACTGAAATTATTGATTGCCCAGTTTTTGTTATGTGGGATTGGAGATGGGTTTTGTGTTAAAAGTCCAGAATTTAGTGTAATAGTAGGGATTGAGATTCAAAGTTGTGTGCTTTGTGCATCAATAGGTGCATGAATCTGATTGGTTCTGTTTTTTGGATTGAAATTTGAAAAAAAAATGTCATGCTTTTGTTGCATAAGTAGTAATGCATGTGAGTTCATACCAATTTGGTTGCATGACGCCTGGAGCATTCTTAAATGGTGGAGTCTGATTGAATTTGCGAATTACCTATTCCCTTAGTTCTTATTTGAGCAGGGGTTTTAATTTTCACATTTGGAATTGATAAGAAAGATCTCTTAGTTAACAGGATGGGCACCAATGCGTCTTCGTTTAGTGTGTGAATCCACCTTAAGCCAAATAGTTATGCCATAGCTGATAATGGTGTATACTTGAATGTGAGAATTTTCGGACCAACAACTAGTTTATTTGAAATGCTATGAGTTTGTCTGGTGTGTTTGAATGTGGGTAGTCTTGTACTGTGAGATATCTATAATTACTTGTTAGTTTTAATGTTTTGAACATCGTTTATACAAGCTATTATATCTCAAAGTTCAAATTTTTTAACTTTGTGTTTGCTTTTGTAGGGATTTCTGCATAGGGAAGATAATTGTTTTGTTTATGTCTCACTAAAACTGGTAAGTAACAGAGAGCAGTCATATGCAGCTATGTTTTGGCTATATTACGATATCAGTACATTAACAAATCTTTGTGGCTTAGATTTATAACATTGGCGTTTGTTTTCTTATCCTGTATTGTGCAGAATTAGTTTTACCTTATGTTATTTTGTTTTAGTTGTTATGTCTTTTCCTATTTCTTTTGAGCATCACGGTTTATTTTCTTTCTTCACATTTTCTTTTCTCTATTTTCTAGTTGAGAAAACTGCCTTTTCTATGTGCATTTGAATGAAGCACATTATGTTCCGACATTTTGAAAATTGATGAACGTTTTATGCTCTTTATGCTGTCATTTATGCAGTGTGGGATTCAAATGTAAAGGTCCTTCAGGATGTTTTAGCAGTCTCATTTGGATGCTTTTAGTAAATGATGACCTTTTTTTTTTCCTTTTGTTTTGGGGCTCGGTAATAACTTTGGTGATTGAGAATCAGACCCATTTCATTTTCTAGATTATGTTACACTGTGATTGTCTTTTGTAGCAGTATATGCACATAAGGGCATTGAAAATTGCAACACAATTGGCGAGATGATTTCAAATGTTGAGGTTTTGTTAAAAGTTTTTGTTGTAACTTGTTGCATTTATTTGCGGATTACTTATGAAGTTTCGTAGAAAATACATTGAACTTTATTGTGCACCTTCTTTGATCTTAATACACCTTCATTGAAACTTTGATTTTGAAAATTTGAAATGAATATTCTCTTCTCAGCATGGTCTCACTTGGTGCGATGGCAAGTGCCTTCGCCCATGAGCGGTAGGTCTCGGGTTCGAGACTTGGGAGCAGCCTCTCCATAAATGGGGGTAAGGCTAGCCGACATTCACCTCTCCCAGACCCTGCGTAAAGCGGGAGCCTTGTGCACTGGGTACGACCTTTTTTTATTCTCTTCTCAGCATAACCTCATATTTTGTTGTTTCAGGTTGTTTTGCGGTGCTGCGCTCGCGTGGCAACAATCAGCAGTGAAGAATCATCTGAAACAGATGAACTTTGATTATTATGTCTGAACAACTGATAGAAGGTCTCCCCGACGCTGTTGCCCTTAGGTGCCTTGCATGGGTTCCCTTCTATCTCCATCCCAAGTTGGAGCTTGTTTCTCGTTCCTGGCAAGCTGCCATTCATAGTGCTGAACTTTTTAGAGCTCGACAGGAAGTTGGCTCATGTGAGGATCTATTATGCGTGTCTGCTAATGAACCAGATAATTTATGGCAGCTATATGATCCTCGTCGAGACCTTTGGATTACACTCCCTGTTCTCCCCTCTAAAATAAAAAACCTTTCCAACTTCGGCACTGTCTCAACTGCTGGAAAACTGTTTGTTCTTGGTGGTGGCAGTGATGCTGTTGACCCACAGACTGGTGACCATGGTACCTTTTCAACCAATGAGGTTTGGTCATACGATCCTGTAATTAGGCGATGGAGCCCACGTGCATCTATGCTTGTTCCTCGTGCAATGTTTGCATGCTGTGTTTTAGGTGGAAAGATTGTTGTTGCAGGGGGTTTAACCAGCTGTCGGAAATCAATCTCTTTAGCAGAAATGTATGACCCTGATAACGATGTGTGGGCTCCAATTCCTGATCTACATTTATCTCATAATGCTGCATGCTCAGGGATAGTGATTGGAGAAAAGATGTACGTCTTGCACAGGGGTTTATCAACGGTGCAAGTCTTCGACAATGTGGGGCTTCAATGGACGGTAGAGGATTATGGTTGGCAACAGGGTCCAATGACAGTCATTAAGGGTGCACTTTATGTGATGAGCCATGGAGTTATCTCCAGGCAAGACAGAGAATCAGAGAAGGTATTGGTTTCGGCTTCTGAGTTTGGTGGCAGAGTTGGGTTTGCAATGGCTGGGCTAGGAGATGAAATTTATGTGATTGGTGGGGTGATCCTCTCTGAACATGGGACCTCTGAAATCAAGCAAATATCAGACGTTGATGTTCTCACGATCGGAGGTGAAAGACCAACTTGGCGCCAGGCAGCTCCGATGACACGGTGCAAAGGAAGTGTTTATGGTTGTGCACAGTTGAGAATTTAGGTCTCATTTCTGGTCGCTATTTGTTGTTGTTTCGTAGGTGCTCTTCATGATGGTTTTCATTCCTGCTAGAAGGAATTGGCCACATGCCAGCTGCCTTTTTGTTATCGCCGGTCGGCTTTGTGTCATGTTACGACTTGAGTTCCCCTCGGAACTCCTATATCCGAAGGCAGCACGGTAAAAGGCCGAAGCGCCATTGGAAGAGGTAACAGTTCAGTAGTACAAGAATTATATGAGGTTTCTCATGGATCAAGCACTTGTTTTCTTTTGTTTTCTTTCCTGGATAATTGAACAAAGAATCTTAATGTATGTCCGTATCTTATTTAAATTTCTTTCATTCATGTTTATTAGATGGGGAAACCTATGTTATTCAACCCAATTTCATAGTTTGATTGATTATTGTAATTATGATACGCTGATCCAACACGATGTTAGTTAGGGTAGGGACACTGGCCACTTCATTCCCCTGTATTCTAGTCTCATTTAACTCCACACATCAGTCTCGCTCCATATGAGAGTTGCCTACCGCCACGCACTAGCCTCACTCTATGAGAGAGCTGCCCTGCTGAAATTTCCTTCACAAACTACATGACCAACTAAAGTTAAATATCATTGGCTCGTTTGAAACTTTTTGTTGTTAAAATCGATTATGCTCAAAAGCTCTTTTAATAAAAGTGTTTTTATTATAAAATGTCACAAAATTCATTAAAATTTAGGGAACTTTAACGAAAAACTCCCGGTACTGTTTACTTTAACGAAAAACCATATTTTTACACTAAAAATCAATCTTGGTACCATTCACTTTACCCTTTATTTTATCTTTATCGTTAAAACTCAAAAATTTCAAATTATTTTAATTAGTTTTCCTTAAAATTTATGTGCTTCTCCAAAAAACGCTTAAAAGTTTTCTACCCAACAAAGTCCGAAGAAAACAATTTCAACCCTTCAAGAAGTGATCCAAACAATTACGTAGTTGCAATGCAATCAAACCATTTTCAAACCGAATATTTATTATTTTCCATTGGGCCACTGGGCCCAAATACCATTAGATGGGCTTTTTACAAAACCCAAAAGATAAACCCAGAACTTGGTGTCAAACTAAATCCCCTGAGGAGGACGAGCGCGAACCAGAGCCGTCTCTGAGCGACAATGGAGGACACTCCGATGGAAAACGGAGAGACCAACGAGGATTCTGAGGTGGCCCCAGCCTTAATTTCCGTCCACCCTACCCAAAGCTCCGTCGCAGTCGCCGCCGTCGGGTCGGACCTCCGCGTCTTCGACCTCCGGTAAGCAATTTCCCCCTAGTCTCTGTGCATTGTTGCTTTGGATTTCAAAAATTGGCCTCGCTGAAACACAATGCGATTCAATTATGAGTCCCTGAAGATTGAAACGACGTCGGTCTTTGTATAGTTTCAATTGTACATATTGAACACAGTGTCAGTTTTGGTCAAGTTCTAAACTTTAAGCTCTGTTTGGCTCTGATTAATTTGTCAGGAAAATTGGAAGTTGTAAATTCAGTTTCTTGTTGTATTTGTGTAGTTAATGGGCTGTTTTTATGTGAGTTTATGAGAAAATTAATCAATTTCAGCAAAATAACTGTTTGATGTGGTTTTGTGACAGTGGGGGTTGTGCGGTTTCTTTGGTAGATAATTCTGGTTGTCCTCTTCATAAGGATTGGATAAGAACCATTCGCTACGGAGCAGACGGGAAGCTTTTTGTGTCGGCTGGTGATGATAAAACCGTCAAGATTTGGTCGACTGAATCTTGGCGCTGCATTACTACTGTGTAAGTTATTCAAACTTCATCATAAAAAAAAAAGGGTTATTGAAACACCCATGACATTGTGGTAATCTTATGAATGGTGTTGAGGATCATATCAACGAAATCATCTGATATTATTTCCGCCTTTTTTTGTTATAGGTGCTCAGAGAAAAGAGTGAGTGCAGTTGCCATAAGCAGTGATGGCTCCTACGTTTGTTTTGCCGACAAGTTTGGGGTTGTTTGGGTTGTGGATGTGGATTTGTCTGATGGAAATCAAGCTTTTGTTGATAAGAAGGCAGCACCTTTGCTTTCTCACTATTGTAGCATCATAACAAGCTTGGTGAGTTGTCTTCTGTTGCTTGGGATTTCTTTGTTTCTTACTCACACGTAGATAGTAATGGTTCTTATATCGTAGGTGAACATTGTTTCTGTGACCACCTGATATTCATGAGATGAGTAGTAATTAACATAGTAATTTTGGCAGGAATTTTCTCCAGATGGACGATTTTTCGTTAGTGCTGACCGGGATTTCAAAATTCGAGTAATCCAACATTACAACCCTTTTGAATAATCTGATAGCTACATTTGCACTTAGTTTACATGATTTTTCTTTTGGCAGGTTACAGTGTTTCCCAAGAAGCCTTTAGATGAAGCTCACGAGATACAAAGTGTCTCCCTTGGTCATACAGAGTGAGTGGCTATCTCTTCTGTTATAAGACAACAGAGAAACTATATAGATAAAGGAAGAAGCATTATGCAAACAGTCGTATTTGCTATGCACTTAGTCAAGTCCTTCCTTTAAACTTCAATCCGATATGCACAAAACATGCAGTGAACTCGAAATTAAATATACGGGGCTCGGTGTTTCTTATTAATTTTGGCAATTTGATCTAAAACATGTTTAGGAAATCTTCTGGTTACTAAACTTTCGCTTATCTTCACTTTCATGCATCTATTGGCAGGTTTGTTTCATGCCTTGCCTTTGTTTGCACTCAGGAATGCCCCCAGGGGTTTCTTGTCTCTGGAAGTGGTGATTCGACAGTAAGCAATCGTAATAACTCATGGTCTTTGAATTGCTTCCACATGCATCTTGTGTACGGTAGAGTAATTGATCCACATTGATTTTTCAGGTTCGTCTATAGGATATTTCCTCAGGATCTCTCCTAAACACATGTAATATCAGAGAAAAGGTACTTCAATAGTTCTATGTTTCCTGGGATTCCCATTCACCTTTTTGTTGTTTCTGAAATACATTAGCATGTTCGGCTAAAATTTTCCTATTTCTTTAGCTGATACTTACTAGCGGTACGAGAGTCTTGTAATTTTTCTGTTGGCATGCTGTTTACTTGATTTCATTATGAAGGCAGGACTTTTAGAGTCCAATGGAATAGAAGAGTGCCATGGGGCCGTTACAGATTTGTGCACCATCCCAGATAGCACCCTTGTTGCAGTGGCTGTTCAAAGGCAAGTTTCTATCTTTTGGATTTTATACACTTTACATCTTGCATAGTGTTACCATTGTTTTTTATCATTTGCCCTTCCTGTTAACCCCTTTATCCTAAGTCTTAACTACCTCAGCATGAAATATAGCTCCTTGGAGCTAAATTGCTGAAGATCTATCATGACGCGCACATAAAGTAGACATTGACATTTCGTGTGATTCGAACAGGTGGTTTCTATCGAGGGAGATGCCTTTATTCCTACAAGCTTGGGAACTAGCTTATCGTCAGGATTATTGTGGATTGTAACGGGTGCCTCTAACTTGCATGATTCTCAATACCCTTGTATGGCCCGTGTCAAGGCTATCTCTGGAGTTAAGGAAACCAGTCCTGATTCAGTTGGGCATGGACCAATTGTTTTGAAAGACGCTGAGATCCCCGGAGGTGAGAAATTGCTCCAGAAGCTGCAGGGAAGAGTGTCGTTTGACGATAACTTTTTCTTGACAGCTGCTGAGGCTTTGAAAACATCCATGAGCAATTTGTTAATAAAAAAGCAGTACTCTACGGAGAATCGAGAGTTTAGAAAGAGAACCAGAAATGATAAGAAACTCAAGCAGTGATGGGATTCCAAAATCGGCAAAAGCTCCTCCAGAAATCGGTTTTGAGAAGGCCTACCGTGAACTACTTGTATTACTATTAGCTTGTGTAACCCTAGGGATTTATTTTATTCATATTCTTGGTTCAGTTCTCCACCTTAACGATAAAAAAAAAGGATTGATCAAAATTATATTGAGTCTAATTCATAGTGATCATTTATCAAAGAATGATTTTGGTGATCAAATAGTTTAACAATCGGGAGCAATTTACTTACGATATTTAGTTGACATTCATAAAAAGTATCTAATGTATCTAGTATTGTTATTGTAGTGTATAAAGTTGTATATGTAATGCGGGTTAATTTAATATAGATTAATATAGATCAATCTACAATAGTATCATCATATTCCTTTTCTATATATATTTATTTTTTTCATATCTTTGTAAGAAAATGGTTGTATTGTTTTGAGAGATTAGAAACTCTGCGCCTTTGCAAGCTGCAATCAACTTAGAGTCAACAATGTTGAGCCACGTTTGCAACTGAGATCCATTTCGGATTTATATGTCTAAAGTTGACGGATCTAGAGATTCGAACCATTAATGTGAAGTTTCTAGTTTAGTAGTCCTATCCACTAACTCACCTCGGACAAACCAAGGATTTGAATATTTCTCTCTCTTCAATAGCCTAGGTCTCTAGATCCTTGAGCTCTGACATACAGATTAGGAGAGGATTTCTACTCTCATGCGTGTATTCAATTGATTGCTTTTAACTACAATAATTGTTACCTGATAGAGTTTTGTAGAGAATCTTCGGTAGGCTGCTCTTACACAATTTGATACCAATGTGGGATCATTGAGACAAAAATACAGGACTCTTATGTTTTTGTGAAAATTTGACCTACTATAACGTGATGGGAGCCCCGTACCTAAGTTTTCTTGAAAAATTAGTTTTATGGTCAAATCCTTGAACACTTCCAATGCCTTAAATTTTGTGTGCAATATGGTGGATCCTATGTGGTACAACCTACTACCTGCAAAATACAGACTATGGACCAATTGTATCTTTTTAAGCCAAACAATCAAAAGTCAAAAACCATTTTTTACTACGATTTAGTAGTATTATTTTTCATTTATAAGTAAGAGATCTTAAGTTCAATCTCGTCAAAAGCGAGTTTGAACCATATGCTAACCCATTATAAGGCTAAACTCATCCATCTCTCTAGTATAGATAATATCGCTTGTTAAAATAAAAAAAAATCAAAGTCAACATTTTTTTTCAGTTACAAGGGAAGATTATTGGTATAGATATTTAATCAAATCCTGCCTAAACATGTTTTGGATATTGACTTTAGAAGAAATACAATAAATCAAACCTCAAATCGTTAAAATTTAAATTCAATAAAAATACAAATGACGATGTTTTTCTTGTACTAATTACCCTTTAATTTAACTCGTAACTCGGATTATTTAACCTTGATTGTTCATCTCTATCACGGTCTTGAAGTCGGCTACCGCACATAAGGAAATAACTAACCCATCAGAAGGTCTATAATACACCTTGTG